TCCCCGATATTCATCCCCGAGAGTGAGAACTGACTTTCAGTTCCTTCAGAGCCAATAAATTTAGATTCTTAAATGAACATCAGGATCATAATGAAATCAACTTTGTGCTATTATTTTTCCTGTCTCTGTTATATTTTCAAGAGTCTGATCCCTCCAAAACTCTTCAGCAGTATACTGCCTATGACATCCAGGTTGAAAAGAAGTTGTGTTATCACTAACACATGAACTGTCATTATTGTCCCTAAGTATCATTCCATGTCTTGTATAATGTTGTTATTTCTTCAGGGATGATAAAAGTTTTTCCAAAGTTTCACAAAACCATGCAGCTTTAATTGCACTTCTTTGGATGCTTGTGGTTTCTTTTTTTACTTCAGAAGTCTGCATTTATACCCCAAAGGTGTGTACTAGAATCATAGAAGCATTAAGGTTGGAAAAAACCTCTAAGATCATCGAGTCCAACCGTCAACATGCCCACTAAACCATGTCCCTAAGCGTCACATCTACACGTCTTTTAAATCCCTCCAGGGACGGTGACTCAACCACTTCCCTGGGCAGCCTGTTCCAATGTTTAACCACTCTTTCAGTAAAGAAATTTCTCCTCATGTCCAATCTAAACCTCCCCTGGTGCAACTTGAGGCCATTTCCTCTCGTCCTATCGCTGTTACTTAGGAGAAGAGACCAAACACCACCTCGCTACAGCCTCCTTTCAGGTAGTTGTAGGGAGCAATAAGGTCTCCCCTCAGCCTCCTTTTCTCCAGGCTAAACAACCCCAGCTCCCTCAGCCGCTCCTCATAAGACTTGTGCTCCAGACCCCTCACCAGCCTCGTTGCCCTTCTCTGGACACGCTCCAACATCTCAACATCCTTCTTGTAGTGAGGGGCCCAAAACTGAACACAGTATTCGAGGTGCGGCCTCACCAGTGCCGAGTACAGAGGCACGATCACTTCCCTATTGCGGAGCTTTTAACTAAATCCATGTACAATTGTTACACAAGATTAGCAGCACCTAGTTCTACATAAATAATGAATTTTTGTATATAAAATACCTTCTGTTGTATTTGTCACTTTGAAACCTGTTGCTTATTGGCTAAAACCCACAGTAATTTTGGAGAAGTAGTCCATGTTCAAAAAATGAAGGAAGAAACAGTCTTAAGTATTGCTTTAAATGAAAAGATAATTGTCTGACAGTGATTGTTGACAACTGATATTAGAGGAAATTGGAATTTTGAACAGAACATATATGCCCATAATAAGTAACTTATTTTCTAAGTGAAGATTGACGTCAAAGGAGCACTTAGTGCCCATATCAACCTAACAGGAATTGGATTTAAAGACCAAAGACAGAACTTGGATTTAATACTGCTAAAACACAGAAAGTAAACCTAGGATTTGAGATCCCACTAGTGATACGCTGCATGCCGGATCATGAAATTGCCATCTTTCATCAGACTGGGAATGGAAACTGGGAGGCATGCAGCATAAGATTTCAGATGCTTTACATAATTATTAACACAGGAGGTATCCCAATTACCAGGCCATGGTTATATTGATCACCTAAAACTTACTGCAGTATTTTTAACTGTTCAAGAAGTGTAAGAAATATATCATTACCCAAGGCAAAAACTGTAAAGCTATTAAAGTGCCACTGCCCTAAATACACTGGCTGGGACTCATTGCACTTAACAAACATTTAAATGTTATACATTTACTTGAAGTTATATACCTACCATCTTTCTCTAGTCAATGAACAGAGACTATTTTCTAAGTAAGCTGATTCACCCACCTATGTTAGATACCTGTCCACAGATGGATAAGTTGATGATTCTAACTGTTCTTACTACTCTGTTTCAAAAAACAGATGTGAAGTACCAGGTTCAAATCCATAGACTGGAATCATTTCCCCACTTTCTGACACTGAGTGGCTAAGGTATTACAATAACAGAAATCAATTTTTCTGATAGCGCTCATGCTCAAAGCACAGAAATACTGACTACTGTACACACACACAAGATTTTCATTATGTTTATAAAAAGATGAATTTATGCTAAAAAAATTAATACGAACATTCCAAAATAAAAAAAGTTCCACTATCGTATATTTATCTGATAAAACGATATTCGGTACAATTCTAACAACCAAATGCCTAACTGAGATGCTTGGCTTTGACACTGTCACTGGGACTCTTTTCGCATTTCCTGCT